TCAGAAATAGTCATTAAGGGCTACTTCTAGAAGCAACCCGTGTGAAGTGGATATTTGAGGTAATACAGTATCTACTGCAGGAAGGAAAAACAGCCAAGAGAGCAACATGGAGGACTGAGAGACATAAAAAAATACATATTACTAACCCTAAGCCTAATTACTCAGGGAAAATACTGGAAGTTGGTTTGGATGTAGTCTGTCATCTTCTCTCCCCCCCCAAAAAAACACATTTAGATGTGGTTACATACGTACACCTATTACCAATATGGCAACCAGGAGAATTACACCAATAAATAACTAGGCTCTTAGTGTTGGAATAAAGTTCAGAGAGGTATTTAGTTGAAATAATACTGTTTTTCAATTTAAACCAAAGTGATGATGAGTTTTGTATGCCCAATAGACCTCAGTAAATCATAACTATTAATAGTAAGCATCTCTTTCTTAACTGTTCTATGGATACAAGGGAATAAGAATAATAAGCTATGTAAATTACTAATTAGAACTTAATTCTATGTTATGCTATGCATATTTTCATCTTCAATATTTCATAGATATCTTTTATTGGACCACCAAAGCATAAATATTTGCATAAAATAATGTCCCTTCCTAAACAATACAAGACTTGAAAATCCTTTCATCAAAAGTGATGTTTCAAATAAATGGAACTCATTAAAGAATAAACAATTTTTAAATATTCTGTAAGCTATGGAATTAATACAGTTTCTTGAAATTTTACAGGGAATGTTTAATGCACAGTGAATTTAAAGTATTCATTGTTAGCTACCATTGAATAGTTAACCTTTTGAACCTTTCTTAGGGTATGCTGACCCCTAAAGGTCTAAAGGTACTAAATTTGAATTATCTATCTAAAATTGCAAAATTACATTTCATGGCTATTTGTTTCAGAAATATTTTTTCAGTTACTTCAGCAGGCATTCTACATCATGGGGACTAAAAGATGCCTGTAGATTATTTTTACATACAGTATTACTCCCAGGAACTTCTGAATCTCAAAACCAGTAAGAAGTAACCCTCTAACAAAAAGAAGACAAATGCTTTTTCTGCCTTGCCTCATCAATGCAAGACTGGTTTTATGGCATATTTGAAATGTATTCTCTTTGGAGAAACAATGGGGAGGTAAAAATTCACGTGATAGATACGTGAGGTGCCACGAGGAGGTCTTTGTGATTAAGGCTATTAGTGGCCAAATTCTCTTCTGCCCCACTGTCCCCAACGACACTGTTCTCTATGTCCTTAGTAATGGCCATTTGCCAATGAACACCTCTCATCCATGAGATACTCATGATCTATGGCACACATCCTTTCCTTTCTTCAAGAAATATGGGCCACCTCAAGACTGACCATCTCTCCATTAGAATCCTTAGGTCAGTGGTCTGCAGCCTTTTTATGCCCAAGATGTCTTCTGAACTTAAGGGCAACCCACGGCCTCCCCTGCCTCTGCTGCACCCCACTTACTTCCCTTCTCTTCCTTCTTCACTTTCACTGGGCTGGAGCAGGAGGGTGAGTACAAGAGGGTATGCGGGGTGCCGGTTCTGAGAAGAGGGTCAGGGCTGGGACAGTTGCTTGATGTACAGGAGAGGGTGCAGGGCATAGGAGGGGTTTTAGGGTGCTGGCTCAGAGGGCGCTCATGGAACAGGAGGGGATATCAGGTGCTGGCTCTGAGAGGGGATTCAGGGCTGGACCAAGTGCTTGGAATACAGGAGGGAATATGGGGTGCTGGCTCTGGGAAGGGGATCAGGTTGATACCACATGTGATCCATTAAACACTTAATTCTCATGCAGTCCCCCCATGATATCCCTCTTCCACAGAACTTTTTCTGTCACCACTGAAAAGACCTCCCTGAGAACTCCCCTTTGTTCCTCCCAATCCCAATCAGGAGGCTACGGATACGTCTACATTGCAGCTGGAAGATGAAATTCCCAGCATGGGTAGATTTGTACTACCTCAGCTTAAACTAACGTACTATAAACAACGGTGTGGATGTTGTGGCAATGGAAGTGGCTTGTGATAGCCACTGGAGTCCAAGACCACCTGACTCTTTGGGTCCAAGCTTAGTCTGGAAGCCCAAGCCCCTGCCAGCGTAGCAACATTCAGACTGCTATTTTTAGCATGCTAACTTAAGCTGAACAAGTGCAAGTCTGATTACTTGTGCTGGAAATAACACCTTGCAGCTTCAGTGTAGACATATCCTACCCCTGACTCCTAAAAAGGTGCCAAGTGTCCCCACTGAAGTCAACAGGAAACTGAGGAGACACTTGACATTGTTGGATCAAATGCTATGCTGTCACCTGATCTGAACTAAGGCAATATTAAGAAATTATTGAATATTAGCACATTTACCTGGTGTTGCTCAGGTCCTTAAGGAGGGGCTCAGGGCAGGAGGGACTCTGGGTAGGGAAGTGTGTGCGCGTGCATGCGTGCACTCATGGGGAGGCCAAAGCCTCCTCGCCCCCAAAATCTGTACCAGGGCTGCTTGCTCTTATCCTTCCTGTCCCTGTCTGTGAATAAGAGCACAGTGCACACCTCACCTGCCCCATGCGCTCTCCAGCCAGATTGAGGGATGCTGCAAACTGTGCACTTTCCCATCACTCCCTGATGAAGTGGAACCACCAGCAATGTCCCAGTATGAATTGGGGAGGGAGCTTCAGGATCCCTACCCTCCCTAAAGGGCATGTAGGTGGTAAGAGGCTCGGGGCTGGGACAGGGTGAGGTGTGCCCCCAGCCAGTCCCTTTCACTTATCTGGTGATTCTGTCTCTTTTCTGTATGGTTTATGAGGCACATCCCATTTCCCAGCACAACCACACCCTTACATTGCTTTAACTTACGATAAGAGGAAGCTGCATACCGAATTTGGTGGTCCTAGCCCTTACGTTTAGGAGGAGTGCTTGAACAAACAGACACACTCTCAAATGTAAAGTAGATTAACAAAAAGGTTTTGCTTAAAAAACAACAAAAGGTCTGGTAGCACTTTATCGGCTAACAAAACATGTAGATGGTATCATGAGCTTTCGTGGGCACAACCCACTTCTTTAGATGACCAGCATTTTGGTTCCTGCCACAATTAGGGCACGGGAGCCATGTAGATTAGTTTCCTAGACATAGGAAAATAATCGCTGCTTCATTTACATCAAAATGGCTGCCGCACTGTGCCGATCAGCTGTTTGGTGGCACAGCACGGTAGTCTGGATGCTCTATGGTCGACAAGGGAAGCCCTCATTGACCGTCCTGGTAAACCTCATTCCATGAGGCATAACGGAATGTGGAGCGCCCAGACTACCGCGCTGTGCCGCAAAACAGCTGATCAGCACAGCGCGGCAGCCATTTTCATGTAAATGAAGCAGCGATTATTTAAATCAGCGCTTCATTTTCCTATGTCTAGAAACCTAATCTAAATGGATCCGTCGACAGAGCCATGTAGTCTAGACATACCCTTAGGTATAAATAATAGAAAATATATCACTGCTCTTTATTAAATTTGTGAAAGAACTAAGTTAGAAATTAATGGCTCTTTGGAGCAAGGACTTCTTTTTGTTCTGTGTTTGTGCAGTGCCTAGAATAGGGATGGGCAAAATATGGCCTACAGGCCAGATCTGGCCCACCAACCCATCAGATCTGGCCCCGGGCTGCCCCGTGAGGACCCTCAGGCACAGAGCAGTCCCATGGCACTTTAAGGCTATGTCTACACTACAAGGTTTTTGCACAAAACCAGCCATTTTTGTGCAAAATCCCACAGAGCAGCCACGCTTCAAATTCATTTTTGCGCAAGAAAATCTACAGTCAATCGACAGAACAGAGGGCTTTTTGCGGTGTAGGTATACCTCCTTCTAGCACTACAGATCTTGCTCAAAAAGGCATGTGTGGACACTTTGCAGGGGTTTCTTGTGCAAAAAGAGCCTATCCAAAAAAGCACAGGTGCTCTGATGGCTATCCGAGCTTTCTTGCGCAAGAGCATCCATGCGCTTTGAGGTGTGGACATGCTTTTGCGCAAGAAGTCTTTGCACAAGAACTCTTCCGCAAAAGACTTCTTGCACAAAAACCCTGCAGTGTAGACGTAAGCTAAGTGTCTCACCGCTTTCTGTGGCTCTCTGCTCTGGGCATCAGGGGAAGAGGGAGGTATTGCGCGCTGCCCCTGGTCAATAGGAGCTGACATATTTTACTGGGAGGCAGGGGCAGCATGTGAAGCCTCCCTTCCTCCCCACCCAGACAGAGCCACAGGGAGCAGCCAGCTATTTTGAGCTTGTCTCAGGGTTCTGAAGGGCTACCAACCAGGAGCTGTCTAGGTAACTGCTTCCTGGCTAGAGCCTGTCTCTGGCACCTTCTCCTCCCCCCCTTCACCTCCCCGCCAAATCCCTGCCCCAAGCACAAATGCCTCCTGCCCCAGGTCACCATCCAAACCCCCTCCTTCCTTCAGGTACAACTTCCTCCCAGACCGCAAACCCTCTCCTGCACCCCAATCCCATACCACGAGCTCCTTTCTTCATCCACCCTCCAACCCAGAGCCTATACCCCCTCTATAAGAAAAGTATGGCCACTTGCCAAAATCTTGGAATGGCCATCAAAAATTATTGTCCACCCCTGACTTAAAACAATCCATCAAAAATTATTGTCCACTCCTGACTTAAAACAACGATGTCCCAGTTGAGGACCAGGACTCCTTAGCACTACAGTTATACACATAATGCTGAGTATCACAACTGAGAGTTCACTAAAATCCCTTAATATTGCAAAATACAGAAAAGCTGCAGTAATCTACAAAAAACTGAGCTGGTTGAAGGTTTACATTTTTTTTGTTTTACGGAAGTTTTAAAATTCTATTTTAAAAACAACCATGCAGCTGCTTTGCTTTCACCCTCAAATGTTTCCAAAATGAATGAGAAAAATCACTTCAATATATTGGGAAGAACAAATACATTCCAGTCAGTACCTAGCACTGGTACACCACCCGGGGTTACGCATTAACACCTTAAAAGTCCTTACCTTTTGACCAGTCCTCCATTTGTACTTCTGAACTTGTTTGATCTGGCACACACTCTGGTTTTTGCTCCAAGATTGCAAAGCTAAAATAAAGCCAAGTCTAGATAAATAAACTTGAAACAATATATTGGAACACACCTACACCTAGCCTTTATTTGACAGAGAATTTACAAGACAAATGATTTTTAAAATATTTATAGTGGGACAATAAACTCTGTGTATTTTAACAGTTGATTTTAACTTACTTTTCTCAGTAAAAGATTTTTTTCTTCACACATTCAGTTTATATAATGGCTTATTCAGCTTTTTGCTGTGTTTAATGCTTCTGTTGAAGTATTTATTAGTTTGTCTCCTTGTTCAAGTCCAGATCTTGCAAACACATACTACCAAGTGCACATTTACTACAGCAAGTAATTCCATTGAAGGCAAAGGCATTGCCCACCACTATGGCAAGCACTACTTGTGGTAGTAACTACTTGCAGAATTGAATCCTTGAGCTGTTTATAATGTGCTTGTGTTTCTTAATTTCATAAGTAACACACAAGATAACCATGTACATTTTCAACTTGTACTTTAAACTTGTATTTCAGAAGAAAATTCAAACCCCTATGCTATTTAAAATTGTCTTATTTCCAGTACAAAATTGCATTTTATATACACTTTTCTGTACTATATACTGTAATATAAAACTAAATTTTTCAACCAGTCACAATTATTTAATTACAATTTATGGTAAACTCACAGTACTGACAGGATTTTTTCTTTCATTTTTCACAAACTATTTAATATGATAGATTTTTTTAGACTCCTTCTGCTAAACATTTGATTTTATTTTTACATTTAGTATATTATCTTTTGATACTTTGTCTAAACATTTTACCATACACTTTGTGAGCTTTGCTTTTTTATTTCTTTAACATCTAAGACTACCATAAATTTTAATATTAACTGAAGCATTGCTTTTTAAATTATCTATAGCATCAACAATTTTTTACCCTTCAAGCACAGGTGTTGGTGAAACACCCAAAAATAAACAGGATATTTTATTCTGCATTTGTGTAAAATACAATGTGAAGAGATAATTTAAGGGCTCATGAAAATGCAAAGGGAACTACCATTTCTGCAAATAAATGTGATGTAGTATGAAAAAATCTTAAAACTAAATGTATAAACCACCAGTAAATGGTACCAATACAAAAGTTTCTCACATTCCCCTGATCCTCCAGTGAAGAACTGGGGGGGAAGTTTTCTTTCCATGGTACATGAAAAACTGATGGAACTACCATTTTTCATTTGAGATTATAAAAAATTAATTCTGCAGACCACTGATAAGATTTAATTAGACTAACATTTACTGTAAACATTCAGGAATTAGTAGAATCTCAGTCTAGCTCATAGTTGTCTTAAGTTTAAGTGTACATGATGAAAGCAGCGCAAGTGTTTATTTGATGTGCTCGCTTCTTAAGAGTGAAAAAGGTAATTTTATCTCATACCTAGAACAATGAGTGCCTTACAAAAGTCCTCAAATGAAGCTGTAAGCTTCTCCTTTTTTGATTCTCTATAACTATGTTGATTTGGAGTTGGCAATCTTTTTCTAAGTTTCTCATTTACTTTTGGATTAGCTGAAAATATAGAAGGTTATTAATATCAAAGAAATATTCCATACATATTGCACAAAAAGATTCATAATAATTGCAGTCTTTTAATAAGATATTCATATAACAAGACATGAAGAAAATACAGTCTTTAATAACCTCTAGAGAATTTTAAAACAAGTCTTAGAGCCTTAATGCGCCTAGTAATATACTATTTAAAACCATAATTTTATCCCTGTACAATATACAGTCATTCTTCCTCCCGATTTACCCAGCTAATGAATGCCAGCAATTAGTAAAATGTAATCCCATTGCACAACCATTTTAATGCTTTTAGCACTCAGAAAAGTAAACACCAAATTAATACTGCTCAAGCCATATCAGATCCTAGCTGGAAGCAAGCAATTATAGTTCAGCTCCTCAGGTGTAATTAAATGATTGGAATGATTTAGTTCCATAAATGCAAGTTAATTCATAAGCAAGCAACAAATATACTGGGAGTAATTACAAGAAACATTGACAGTCTAAGCAGGGCATGTTCTTTTATGTACCTGTTGTAGGAAAAGGCTGCCCTCTCCTGGAGATAATAGTGAATCATAAATCTACTAAATAATCAACTTCATAACTTGGAGAATGGCATAACTTTTTAGAGGTAATAGCTTCTCTCCTATATTACACAAACACCCATAATTAATGAGGAGGAATTGTTTACATATAGACAAAGTCAATTATGGTGACTAAACTATGTTGGTTGACTTAGTGGTCAGAGTCCACTAATAAGATTTTACCAGATTTTCAATGTTATTTTTTTTTTGCTATCAACAAAATATTATTTTTCAAAAAAATCTCGCTATTCAGATTTGCGAAGTTGCCAGGCTTTATCCTTTTAAAAAATCCATACTAAAACTTAGCTTACATGCAATATTTGCGAGCAACACAACATACCTTTCTATGAGGTACTCAAGTGACATTAACAAAACTAATTACATTCTGACATTACACTGAGTAACTCATACAAATCAACGAAAAGTTGGGCATGGCCATACAAGTTTCATTGTGAATGAATCGCTAAAGATTTGCAATGAAATGTTCTACTTACATTCACTTTTGAGATTAAATGAAAGTTTTGTAACTGATCAATTACTGTATTAATTGCTGAGTATTTTTATTAAAGAAACAAAAAATAAATAATGGAAGAATATGTAGGAAACAGTGTTTGAAACTTGACGCAAAGGATAACAGAAGACTTGGAAGATATAAAATTAGTTGGATACCATGGATGTCACAGAGAGTACGTCTACACTGAAACGGTATTTCAAAATAACTAGCACTATTCAAAATAACTTAGTCCGCGTCTTCACAGCAGGAAGTTATTTCAAAATAGTGTCAAAATATTATCAAGCTGGAGGACTTCTTACTCATACTCCTGTAACCCTCATTGTATGAGGAGTAAGGAAAGTCAGAGGAAGAGTGTTCTATTTTTAAATAAGCACTGTGTAGATGCTCCCTATTTTGAAATAAACTATTTCAAAATAAGATACGCAATTGATTTGCGTAGCTTATTTCAAGTTAAGCCCTGCCATGTAGATGCACTCAAAAGGATTTGATTAGCTGCAAAATTTCAAGGAACTGCTAAAAGACAGACTGGAACGGAGGAGAAGGACTTGAAGAGCATTGATCCTATATAGATGGGTCTAAAGCTAGAAGAAGGAAACAGTAAATCACTGGGGAAAATTTTATACAAAATTATCAATAATAAAATGAAATTAAGGCCACAAAACAACGTATTTCAATTACCCAATTCAAGGTTGACTTTAAAAACACTTTTTCCTTATTCACAATCCTTCAATTCAAGGTTGTATCAATTATACATGTCCTGTTTTAATAGTATCAAAACATCCTATTACAGCTTCCATCCTGTACATATCATCAACTAACCAGGACATTAACCAAGGAAAACTATAAACTGACTACAACTGTGGCATGTCTCATCCAATAACTGCAAAAAAAAGGCTTTGTAAATTTATTTATGTACCTGAGTATAAATTTGCAAGTAACTTCTCAGTATTTAAATGAGTTCCAGCTCTAATCTGTCTTTATATATTGCTTTCTAGTAAAGTGTTCAAAGAATATATAAACAGTATTTGCAAATATACTTTATATGGTCATTTCCACAAACACCAATCTTACAAAAAGTACATTCACAAACATGGTTATTGCTCTTTAGGACACTAAGTAGATCCTTACTAATAAGATTTCCTGTGAGCGTAATATGTTTATGTTATTAATCTTTACACATTTAAAAACAAGCAGAGGCTATGGACAAATATCTGAAGACTATACACTCATTGTAGAGATGAAATCGAATTATTTTAAGAAGTCACATTTCAAATTTTAAAATGTATGGCACATTTGCTTTGCCCTTTGATGTCACAGTCTTATTTTTCTATTCAAATCTTGTACACTGTAAGTTAATTGCTTTTGGAAACTACTTATTATTCATGTAAAAATTAATGTGCCAATGTGTTTAAATCCTTTTAAATGACCATTCATGCATCTTTCTTCTTTAAGTACCGAAGAAATCTGTCAAAGATATCAATGCAAGATGGTCTTAAAGAAAGTTATAATAAAGATTCTTTTCTGCTAACATAAGATTTTCATTTTTGCCAACTTTACTTAAATTCCATTAATTTTTTAAGCTGCTTTTAATAAATTCACCAAGTAAAAAATTTTAGGCCCCATAGTCTGTCATTTGTGTTCCAGCTGACTTTATGAATATTAATAACAGTGTTATCCTGATTAAATAGGCTTCATATGAAATCCCTGTGAATCCTATAGCTCAGACATCTCATTTTTCCAACTCTTTATGAATTTGGATTCAGATATTAAATGGGAAAAATCTTAAAAAACAGATTTAATGGTACATTTGTGCATTCTTAAGCAAAAACTAGATATTCTAATGATTCAAATAATTAAAACTGAAATCTTAATATGTAGACCTTTCTGTAAACATGCAACATATTTGAACTGTAATGAAAACTTCAGCACTTCTCAGAACAAAGGATTAAGAATCTATTATAAAATACTAATGTCTGTCCTTATACTCACCTTAAACAACAAACAATATAGTCTTCACTCATGCATATGAGTTTCAGAGTTGCAAAAATATTCCCTAAAGGGAAATATCTATTGACAGACTTTTGATTATGTAAGTTTAAATACCGAATACATGAACACAGAGTATTTATTACACCTTAAATAGGAGTTCAATCTTTTTTAGTACATATAAACCCACATTCAAACTAAACAACATTAACATTTACTTGGTATACTTCTGTTCTCATGCAAAAAGGGCCCACGTTTTCCAACAGGGACACACCAAAGTACACAAGTGCTTTCAGCTAACAAATCCTCAGTCAAATGCATGGGCAACTCTGATTTACACATAGGTACTAGAGGTTCAGGTCAGCTTTGTCAGCCATCAAACT